GCCGGGCTCCGGGCTTGGGTCCGAGCCGAGGTGGTGAAACCCTACCCGGGCCCGGTTTTTAATTATATACATCTTATATATATATATTTTTTATATTTTATATATAATTATAGTATGATATGGTCATTAATATATAGTTATATATATTTTTAAGTGTACATTGTCGTTAATATATACTTAGATATATATTTTTAATGTATACTATATATAATTATAGTATGATTTGGTCATTAATGTGTATATACTTATATATACTTATATATAATATATGGCTATATACTAATATGTAAGTATATACTAATACATACTTATATAAATATAATAAGATTAATCTAAATTTTAGCAAAAAAAATCAAAAAAAATCAAAAATATAAAAATACAAAAAATCCGGGCCGGCCCGGCCCGGCCCGTTTGGACAGCCCTAATGGTAACGTTGTTTTGATTATTTTATTATTGTTTCTTCAAAAAATTGATTTTTTTCTGAATTTTTTCAGGTAGTAGTGATAATCGGATGCCTAATGGAGAAATCAAGCCTACAATTAATGTTCCTAAGGTTTTTTAAGTTCATTTCCCCCCATTCATTTATATGTTGGATTCATCTTTACGTGTTGACTTAGATGGCTTGATACAAGAGAGGCCACTAAATGTGCTGTTTAGGAGTAGTAACAGAATTATGTCTAAATTGCACTTAAATACTACAAAGTTTCCCCACTGTCACTTTATACCACAAGTTGTATTTTGTGGTAGAAAAATACGACAAGTTGTAAAAAAAAAGTGGCGCATTAGTACATCGATCATGCAAATGTGAAAATTTTTACCCGAATGTTTCTCTATGATATTTACATGTTAATTCTAGAACTTTTTAATTACTAATATTTGTTAAATTTGCTAGTAAATCAACAAAATTCTTTTTCAAACTTATCTTAATTCTATTATTATAGTTAATGATACAAAGTGGAATAGAGAAAGACCTAAAGTTGTCTGAAAGCTATTAAGAAGGATATAATAATTGACAAAGACTAGATTCATGTAGCATACCCCAAAATTTTGGGATTAAGGCTTTGTTAGTGTTATATTGATGTTTAGGTGCTTACTTTTTGTTTGCAGAGTTTTAGTTCAACAGATACTGTTTCTTCGAGATTACACAGTCAAGCTGCGACATATGCTAGGATAGCTGAAGCACTGAATGTTAAATCACGTTTTGTTGAGAGTGACCAAGGTGGAAGGAAACTCGATGATGAAAGGGATGGTTTGTTAGCTGTTCTTCCAGTCTCTGCTGAAAATGCTGGATTTCTTCCAAAGTGTGATGGTACATACACTTCTAATTTTTCGTGGTGATAAATTGAATTGTTATTTATTTGGTATCGATCATAGATAAGTAGTAAAAAAAAATGGTTGCCTATTCGACAATTGAGGGCAGAGCATTAGTATTGATTTAAAAAACAATGCAACTCAAATGCTTTTTTTATTCACGTTTCTAAGATAGGAAACCTGAAATTTCTTGTCATGACTTGATTGAGTTTGAATGGGTTCTTGTAGTGTCTTATGGTCTCACACAAGTAAATGGCTGACATTCTTGTTTAAGTTGCATGCACCAGTTTTTACCTGGGCTTGGTAAATTTATAAATAGTTTGTCTATGTGAAGGTGAAAATGGTGATTGCCTCAGGAATAGTAGCGTCCATCATTTGAAGTTGATCAAACTGGTTTCATCCCTGATTGGCTGAAAAAACACTTCCTTGGTCATCGGGTTTGTCATTTAGACATGCTTGAAGATCAGTAATTAGTTATATTACTCCAAGATTGCTCTTGTTGGATTTTGAAAAAAAAAATTGTTATTATAAATCCACCTGCATGGAGTTTTATGTTACTTTCTTTTTGCTGATCAAGTAGTTATATTTAGACGAGTGTTCTTTAAAACCCCAGAAGCTGATATAGGTGGTTACGTATATGAGTCAGAACCGTATTTTGCTCAGTGGACGAGAACTTTAATAAGAAAAATCTAGACTGATCTTTCATTTTAAACAAGGGTTAAGTGCTGACAGACCCCCTCTAGTGTCGCCTAATTTCGGACAGACACCATATAGTTCTATTTGTGTAGATACACCCCCTGGGCCTGGGTGAAATTGTTTTGACTTTTAAAAGATTCAAAAGGGTTAGTTGCTAATAGGCCCCCCTGCACTATTGCCTAGTTGCGGATAGACCCCCTGTAGTTTTTGTCCAAATGCGGATAAGCCCCCTCAGTGAACTTTTTCGACGCTTTTAGGAGTAAAAGAAGATGAGCAACTGGGGGTCCATCCTCACAATAGAACTAAAACTATAAATATTTCAAGCGTTTTGGCATTATTACTACAATGGTCTTAAGACCATGATTAGCCCCAAGCAGTGCGACAACATTTTTTGTTGAATAGATGAATAAGGTGAGATGTCATCATTGCATTAGCAAGCAACTTTCTAACAATTCTAATTGAAGGGAAGCATTCCATAAAATCTGCAATTTTTGGGATTTTTGTTCTGAGGGTAACTGATAGTTGTGTATGAACCATTAAAATTCCTGATGTGTCTCTTTCCCAGCCATTATTGTACGATCAGCACATATTGTTGCCAAGCTTCTTCTCTTTCTTTTCTTTGTCACAGTGCGTTGATCCTTTGTAATATTAGCATAAAGAATAATGGTATTAGTGCTCAATTCCCTTTCTAGGTTGGCAATATAATATTGTTACTTAATCCTTTGTTCTCTTGATGACAGCATAATATCCTTATAGACCAGCCTCAAGAACATCCCTTCCCTTGTGACTGTATAATTGTCAAAAAGATTATTTTGAGCCATGCCTATTAGCATGAACATTATTGAGTTCATGTCGTCTATAGAGGCATGCATCATTTACTATATGATTCTAGAACACTAATTTGCACATTATTAGGGAGCGTTTGGCAATCGTGACGTTTTTGCCGTCTTTGTTTTTTTTTTCAACAAAAACAAAGAAACGCGTTTGGCAACCGGGGCGTTTTTTTGACTTGTCCCTTTACAAAATCTAAAAATTAAACACTTTTCTCAAAACACCAAAAATATGTTTTAAGATTCTGTTTTTCATCTAAGCCGCCGCAGCCCGCTCGCCCTGCCCGCGCCGGCCCGCCGCCACCCTGCGACCACCTGCCCCGCTCCATCGCCGGCCGCCGCCGCTGCCCGGCTCGTTGCCACCGCCCGCGCCTCTCGCACCACCGTCGCTTCTCGGCCCGTTCTGCCGCGACCGCCCGTCAACTGGCTGCCGAGTCCACCATTCACCCGACCGTCACACCGCCACCGCGCCGCCCTCCAGCCACCGCGTCGCCCATGCCCGACACCGGCCACCCGGCCGCCGCCACCGTCGCCGCGCCGCAGGCTCGCCGCGCCACCCGTCCGGCCACATGCCGCCGGTCCCGGTCGGCGGCCCGACCTGCGCCATCGCGCTACTCCGTCCGGTAGCTGGAGTCGTTCATTCGCCGCGCCCGTCGGTCCACCGCCACCGCCCGCTCGCCGCCGCCGCCCGCCCACTGTCGCTATATAAATGGTCAAACTAGTTTGACCAAAATGGTGTTTTCAAAACACATTTGAAAAAGAAACACCATGATATGGTGTTTTTTATAAAAACACAAAAAAAAAACACATTGATTACCAAACACACCCAAATTTGTTAACCATTTCTGTATTACAGTACATTATCCTTCTCCTACAAGCAAACATGAGAGAAAGACCAGTAGAGCACAATATATCCAATGTTATTACATGGAGCACCAAGTGTTTTTTTCCCCTTTAGTCATCACCAAAGAAATGTAGTTCTTTCAGTCATTGACTAAGCTCACTTATTAGATTCCTGAGTGATATAGCTCTGGTGACTAAGCACCAAGTGTTTTTTCCCTTTAGTCATCACTAGAACACTTATTTGTACATTATTAGTAAACCATTTCTGTAATATATTATCCTTCTCCTTCCAGCAAACATGAGAGAAAAACCGCTAGAGCACAATTCAATGTTATTACATGGAGCACCAAGTTTTTTTCCCTTTTAGTCATCACCGGAGAAATATAGTTCTTTCAGTCATTGACTGAATCCTGAGTGTTATAGCTCTTCCATTAAGTGTTTATGCTCGCCACATTTCTCAGAGGATTGATGTCTTCAATCAAATGGTCTTGTAGTGAAACCTTCATCAAGTGGATCTTTGGTGCCACTGCTGGAAAACCTAGAGAAGGGAGGACATAAATCTATCTTATTATTTTTCTCCTTCAAAAGTATCTCTTGAAGTTTTATCCTTCAAAATGATCATATTGAGTTGACAAGCATTAGGATTGTCTTCTGTCACGCCAAATTTTTTCTTCAGCTCATTGCATTAGTGCTTTGCGCATCATCTGCAGTTAAGTTGCAACCCGAAAAATTGTGAAGACAGTGCAGCGCACAAACATGACACATACACAGGTATTCAACTATTCCTTTTAAGTAGGATTTGGAGACACGACGACGTGTCAACATCTTTTGTGTGGACGTTCATGAATGGAAGAGAGTATGTAAATGTGTATATTCCGTAAGAAAAATATTCTATTTGTATGCGTGCATATTCATGAGAATACAATACAGAAAACTTTTTTAAATTCTAATAATATGATAAGCTTATGGAAGGTTTGAAATTGCAGTAGTAGTTTTGATGATTATATATATATATATATATATATATATATATATATATATATATAATCTTTACTTAGTGTAGAAACCATATTTATAAGGATGACAATCTGAAATCATATTTATAAGGATGACAATCTGAAACCATATTTAAAATAGGGTGGCAATAGAAAAATCATCTTTACTTAGTGTGTAGAAACTATATTTATAAGGATGACAATCTGAAATCGCCTTCAAAGTTCAATTAATACAAAAACCACAATTAAAAAGGATTATGAAGCAATCCACCATCTTAACCTATTTTTTGGTGATATTTGATTGAAATCCCCAAAATGCCCTTAAAAGACTGATGTGCTAGGAATATGGAATGTCTTCATAACCAAACGTAAACCGAAATCTTAGGCTGGTACGTGTGTTTTTAAGGGCATTCTGGGAATCTCAGGTTGCCATTTCACCAAAAAAATAGGTTAAGGTGGTTGATTGCTACCTAAACCTTCTTTATAGTTTGGATCCTGTATTAGTTCAACTTTGAAGGTGGTTGTCTTAATTATTGTTTTAAATATCCTTGACATGGCCCAATATATCTCCCGATATAGTGTTATATTAGGAAATTTGAAAAAGGAAATCACTAACAAAAAAAACTTGAAAATTAAATGAACTTTTTCCCCACAGGAACCACATTTAAAATAGGTTGACAATACGGAAATCATCTTCAAAGTTTAATTAAGGCTAAGGTTTTAAATATCGGTTATTGGGGAAATATCAGATGACCAAAATTCATATCGGATTGGGTTTTGGTTATGAAGACATTTCATGTTCCCGATATAGTGATTAAGACTTGAGATTCTCAGAATGATTAAGACAACTACCTTCAAAGTTGACCTGATACAAAAACCAAGCTTTAAAGAAGGTTTAGATAGCAATCAACCACCTTGACCTATTTTTTGGTGAAATGATGACCTGAGATTCCCAGAATGCCCACACCTACCAGCATAAAATTTTGGTTTAGGTTAGGTCATGAAAACATTTCTTTTTTCAATTTTTTGGTACTTTGAAATTTTAGTCCCTTCACGTATTAGGTATTATTAGCTAATACAATATGTACTAGTTGTTTTGTTTAGCAAATATCGATAGTATCAATCTTAGTTGACATATTGGTATCAGGTGATATTTCAGTTCTTGAGATTATGTTGACAGATGTCTACTCAATGAGTTGGGAAATTGGACTAAATTCATCATCTTTCTACAAAACAACCAAATCTTTTCTTAAATCGAAACATACAACTGCTAGCTATGAATCACATTTGAATTGTTTCCATAAAATTTTGTCTTAATATAAATATGGACACTAAATGCATATCTTAATACAGAATCAGCATGACATAGTATTTAACAATCATAAAAATGTCACCTATATGTTTGCGAAGTCTCCTAATTGAAAGTGTTAGAAATTAAAAGTATTCTTACATATTTGTTGTTTTCTAGTTCACTCCCTGACTTTACTTGTGTATGCTTATCCCAAAATAATATTGTATTGATTTAATTTCAGGTGAACCTAAAGGATCAGATATTTTGCTAGAAGCAATACTGGAAGCAGAGGTGGCTCAAAATGCCAAACAGTTTTTCTCACAACCAGAGAACCGGATACCTCAAGATATACCAAAACAGTAAGCAGGTAAAGTTCTAATTCACCTATCTTATTTTGGTGTATAATGTTGAATTTGTTTCTTAGTAGAAGTATCTGGCATGAAAGGATACTAAAGTTTGACATCGTTAACAAAAAAGAGCAAGTTTCCTCTTTCCTAGTCTCTTTTCCTTCGCTCGTATCCTTGGATAAAAAATTGAGCTCAATGCTTCTTCATCGTCTTTAGATAATCATGCATGTATTGTTTAAACGACAGTTAGTCTACTCTTGATATATTGAGACAAAAAAAAAAGAGAAAATAAAAAGAAAAAGAGTTGCATAAGAGATCTTACCATGTTCACTAGATCATAAATTCACGGGTTCTTGCCTTGTGCACTTTTCACTATGTGGACAGCTTCCCTCAGCTAGGTTGAGATTGACAATACAAGGATCAAGTACAGCTAGTCTTAATCTTTTTTGGGTATTGTTACATAACAAAGTTTTCTGATTATTGATTTTTTTTACATTTGATTGAATTTAGTTCATTTGCGGGCTTTTTTCCCATGTGCAGAAGCTGTAATTACTGTAACGAAGCATGATTGATCAACGAGGAAAGACATATGACAAATTATATACATAAGGCAGTCTTAAGGGATTGAGCTGATGTTAATCCTCGCGGGAGTTAAAAAATGGTACCTAGAGTTCCTCATTCTGTAAATAACATATATCTGTTGCTGTGCATGAACGAAAGCACAACGCATGACATAATATTAACGATATTTAATTCAAAAATAGTTATGGCGGAGTTTTTCCTACATAATATTTTTCAGTAAATGAAAAAAGGCAGACGGTTATAGTATGGTTGTACTGTTGCCGATAGATTTTAGCAGGTGGAATAAAAGATATTAGTATGAAAGGTTTAGTGTCTGTTAATTTTCACATGCATGTTTATAGAGGATTTGTTATTATTTGATTAAAATTTGAGTTATTTGCACTTTGACACCCCAAAATTTTCACCGTTTTTAACTTTGATACCATAAAGTTGTTTTTTGACACTTCGATTCCCCAAACTTTAAAGTTTTTTTAGTTTAAAACCGCATAGTTTTTTTTAGCTCTTTGATGCCCTAAGCATTACAAGTTATTGAACTTTGATACCGCAAAGTTGTGTTCTGACATTTCACATAACTCAAGGATTGGGATATCAAAGGAAAAAAAAGTGTAAATTTTACAGTATCAAAGTTAAAAAATGTGTAAATATTGGGCATCAAAGTGTAAAAAAAAAAACACTGAGCATCGAAGTCAGAAAAGATGTAAACTTTGGGATATCAATCAAATAAAAACTTACGGGTATCAAAGTTCAAAAAGATGTAAACTTAGGGGTACCAAAGTGCAAATAACAAAATTCGGTAAATGGATTTGTTAGTAGAAAGACACAAGTAATTTGTACCCACATCCATCATATTAATCTTGTCTCTAAATTTGTAGATGGGGAGTTGTTTATGTCAGGACATTAATAGTATGAGTAGGAGGATATCTAGGGGAGTTTATGGTTCCTTAATCTTTTCTGATAACTGATTAATCTAAGGGAACTAGATCCTTGCACATGTAATACATGTTAGAGGCTCGGAGCCGACGCTCAAGTTAGTGATAGAAAAAGCAAGTTCCCCAAATGTAGAATCTAGTTTAGGGACATACCTCAGTGCAATGGGGTTATTCACTATTTATAGAGAATTCGTGGGGACACATTGGTAATTCAACCGATTGGTGTGAGCTAGTGCTCTACTTCCGCTTTACATGTGTCAGCAGCCGGTTAAGTGAATGTAAATGGGCGCCTACCTCACATGCAATGTGATAGCGACAGAATGATAGAAGTGCGGGTGGCGTCCAAGGAGTCATTATGACTCTGTCCATGCATTTAATGCGATGGCGACTGGGTGGCAGAGCAAGGGTGCCGACTGACCATATATTAAATGCGAAAGACGTTAATGAGACTGGTAGGTCACTTTCTTATCTAGGATGTTTCCTAGTGGAATTCGACCAAGAGATTTCTTTCGTCTCGGATGCGGACTCGAACTGCTAGAGAGATCAGTTTGGTTGGTAGAGCAGTATTCATATTTGGGTTGAACTTTCTGATTATATGATTTCGTCTTGGATGCGGACTCGAACTGCTAGAGAGATCAGTTTGGTTGGTAGAGCAGTATTCATATTTGGGTTGAACTTTCTGATTATATGACTGTAGGCTGTCAAAAAAAAAATCAAAATAGATAGCTGATCCCCCATCAAACACCGATGATGGAAGTTACAATCTGACGACTTTCAGAAGGCTATAATTTGAAGACTTTCATATAGACCGATGAAGGTTACAATCTGACGACCTTCACAACAACTGATGAAAGCTCTAATCAATAGTCTTCACAATCAACATCGGGAGTTACAATCTGACAACTCTCATATTTTCAAGGAGCCAAGATGAAGATTACAAGATAATAGTCTTTGCAACGCTCTGCAGAAGAAGCTATAAGTCATTGGCTCCTTCTAAAAACGCGGAATTTATCTTCGCGTTTCAATTCCTAAAACGCAGGCGACCCCCGCGTTTCCAAGCTTCAACAAGCAAAACGCAGGCGACCCTCGCGTTTCCAACCTTCAGCAAACGAAGCGCAGGCGACCCCCGCGTTTCCAACCTTCAGACTCCAAAACGTGAGCGGCCCTCGTGTTTTTCAACACCCAGCGAGTACCCAACTCCACGTCTCCATTCTAAAACGCAGAGTTAGGGTCCTGAACGCCAACGTGGGCGTTTGACTCGTTCAAACACGAGCTGAACGGTTACAGGAACCGTTTTTCCTCCACGATTTGAGGGATTTTCGCCCCACTTAGGAGCGGATTAAGGGGGCGGTTACACCCCTCTCAACCCCATTATGGAGAGAATTAAGGGGGGGCGGTTACACCCCTTAATTCCCTATAAATATGGGTAAACTCAATTGAGTTCGGGCTGGCTTTTGGGATCTGAGACTTGGCAGCGAGGAGATCTTTGGCTTCTTCTTGGGGATCTTCGATTTGGAGTTTTGAAGATCAAAACTGCACAAAAGAGAGATCAACATTCATCTTTTGGGAGTAGTCTTGAGAGCTTTCGGCCTTGGCGGATTAACCGACTTTCGGTTCAAATCAATTCTTTCATAGAGTTTCAAACTCGTTCAGAGTTATCAACTCATCAAGAGTTTTAAACTTGCCACGTAAGTTCTCCACAGCGTCGAATCATGAGGAGAAGATATCGTTCCAGTGAATCAAAACGTCGGATCATCAACGGAGAGCAAACTCGACGCGAGCATTCGAGGGAGGCACTCCATTGTCACCGTGAAGAACCCAGAATTAAACAAATGGGAGAATCAAATTCATTCTCCTCTCTTTTGTAATCGGAATCCAAATTGTAATTGAGATTGAGAGAATACAAATCAATTTTCTTTCATTTTTATTTACTACAATTTTTTTTAAAAAAAAAGATGGCGACTCTGTTGGGGACAAGCTTTTCTGATGAAGAAGTGGTGGCGCAATCCGATGTTCATCTTACTTGAACGACCGTCGAAACTCTCGTGGTAGAGTTTTATCAAGCCAAGTTTGAGGAGGCTATCTCCTCCGGATCCCTTAGCCCCAAGGCTATGCGTAAGATCCACAAAATTTCTAAGGAGACTAAAGCTCTAGTTGTGGCCGACTCATCAAATGGCTGTCTCCCCTGGGGGTTGTACTGTTCATACAGTCCCCTCTCTGAAAGAGAATACTTAGCTTCAACACAATTCCAAGAAAGTCGATCCTCCAACAAACGCGAGCTTCGCGTTCGTGAGCCTAAACGCGACCCTGAGCTTCGTGTTTCTACTTTAGAACGCAAGCCTCGTGTTTATGAGCCCAAACATGAGATTCGCGAGAACCAGACTGAACGTGGCCCTCAATGGCGCGTTTTACAGCCAAAACGCGGACCTCAAGCCTTCGTTGAACGCGAACTTCAACTTCGCGTTTCCCAGTCAAAACACGACCCTCGCATCGATAATGAAGAACACGACCCTCATGTTGCCAAACCAAAATGCGGACCTCGCGTTTCAAGTGCCAAACAAGACCTTCGTGTCCCAAGTGCCAAATTCAATACAGAACTTGGTGTATACCGTGGAGCTTCGGGGCGCTACCCCGAACCCCATCGGGGGGTATTCCATCCTTGAATTTATATTTATTCTCTCTAATAGACTAAGAAAAAGAATGAGTTACAAAGAGGCGGATATAAGAAGTTCATGGATCCAAGGCATCTAAACCAGATTCATGTCCATCAAGAGCCAGTCATGTCCAATCATAGACTGTGGGTTCCAGTTCAAACCTCACGATCAGTGAGTAATTCTCCTCGAATCTTTACAACAGATTTGAGAGAGTTTATATCGAGTGAAAGACCGATGCAACAAATTATTCGTTCATTCCAATGTGAACGACTGATCCTTACGGTCCTCTCGGGATATCAATGTTGCTCATATGCGGCCAAACTGTTGGTGTTCGACCAATTAACGAACGTTGCTTTATCTAACCAACGACGACGTTCGCACAGGAAGAAGTCTCCAGAGACCGAGTATCCTGGAGTCACTATCAATGTGATCGGTAGAGGGAATGCCTCTGGTCCTAGCTCCGATGACTCTGAGACAAGTCGTTCACCGACCGTCAGAGAAATAGCTAACGAGTTTGAAGGAATCTACTAACGCACTCGGACGCGAACGGGAACCATTCCCCCTGTCAACTATCGGAGGTTAGCCAGAGGAACCAATTCCGATGATGAACACTCAGCCATTGCAGAGTCCCAATCATCAAGCTCTTTTGTTGAACATGAGAGCTCCGCTTATTTGACGGGAAATCATGAAGATCTCGCGAAGAGACTTGACGAGCAGGAGGTCATGCTCAAATCTCAGCAGGAGGCCATCAATGAACTCATGGCCCTGTTGACTCAAATCGTCGCAGACAAGGACAAATCTCAGGAGATAGATTCGCCACCTAGGTAAGAATCTTCCAGGAGAGAAAAAGCGTCTTCATCCCGACCTCACACAAGCAAAGGAAAGAGAAAAGTGGTTGATGGTGCTGCTTCTGATCAAGAAGCCCACAACCTGGAATCTTCCTCTGATGAAGCAAAAGAGACTGAGAACGAGCAGAATCTCCAGTCTGCCAAAATGGAAGAATTGGAAGCCCGTCTCAATGTCATTGCTAACAGAAGCGAGCTCCAAGATGAGGGAGTTGTCAGGCCCTATCCTGCCGAATGGGATGCAGCCCCTTATCCTCCAAAATTTGATGTCCTGACGCTACAAATTTTTGACGGCACGGGATCACCGAACCAACATATCTATCATTTCAAGTCACAGACTAGGAATGTGATATCAAACGATGTCATAATGGCTTGATTATTCATTGGCACCCTCAAGGGAGTTGCCTTTGAATGGTTCAGGAAACTGCCTGCGGGATGTATCCAAAAGTGGGCAGATCTAGAGAGTCTCTTCCTGTCGAGATTCTTTGAAGAGGATACGGAAGTCTCCATCCATACCCTTCTCGCCACTAAGTAGAAGAAGAGGGAGTCCGTCAAAGCCTTCGTTAAGAGGTTTCGAAACATGGCTCTGCGATGTTCGTCAGGTATGATACAGTCTACACTGGTAGAGACCTGTCGACACAACTTGCAAACCGACCTCCTAGTCCGAATAGGAATTGCAGAATGCCGTTCTTGGAGACAACTAATCTCTCAAGGCGAACAGGCTCAAAAGATTATTGTCAGGATCAAAGTTGAAGAACAAAATAGGCAGGATCAGCCTGAGCAATCGGACCCAGCCCAATCTTCTCAGTCAGAAGGGGAAGATACTACG